CCCCCCACAGCCTTTCAACTCGTCCACTGGAAACAACCCAAGAAGTCGGCCGCAGCTTTTGGCCTGTCTCTCCTGGTTCTTGTCTCCGTGGCAACGCTGTCTGTCATCAGCGTGGTGTCCTACCTGCTGCTCGCCTGCCTTTGTGTCACCATCACCTTCCGGTAAGAACCAATCGCAGTGCTCGGTTTCTGCAGCCAATCAGAGCAGGACTTCCTTCATTACATGTTCAGATGAATAAAGTTTAATTGTCTCTGACTGAATGAGTCAATAAACTCATACATACTCCTTCCTGTCTGTAGGGTTTACAAGTCAGTGATTCAGGCCGTCCAGAAATCAGAAGAAGGTCATCCCTTCAGGTAACACACACACACACAGACACACACGCACACACACACACACACACACACACACACAGTTTTTGTGTTTGATGACATCACAGACAAACTGACCCTGGAGCTGCTGCCTGATGATTGGCTGATTGGAGACAGGTGTTGGTAATTAAGTGCTAATTTACTGAAGGTGTGTAAAACAGCAAATAACAGACACGTGTCCTCCTGTGTCAGGTCTCTGTTGGACAGAGACATCGCAGTGTCCTCGGAGTCGGTCCGTCAGTTGGCGGATCAGGGTCTGATCCACCTGAACTGGTTCAGCAGTGAGACCAGGAGGCTGCTGCTGGTCGAAGACCTGGTCGATTCTCTGAAGGTCAGAATTGTTCAGACGCCGTTAAAGGAAACGTTTGAGGACAAATGTCCACACGTTGTCCCACAGCTCATTGTTCTCTGGATGTTTCTGAATGTTCCAGCTGGCTGCCGTCATGTGGCTGATGACGTATGTTGGTTCTGTGTTTAATGGAGTCACCATCTTGATCCTCGGTGAGTCTGGTTCTGGTTCTGGTTCTGTTCTGGTTCTGTTCCGGGTCCTGTAACTAACCGACTGTTTCTCTTTTCAGCTGACGTCTTGTTCTTCACCGCTCCGCTGATCTACCAGAAGAAAAAGGTACCGAGCGTCTGTCCTCAAAGAACCTGAGACAACAAACCTCTGTTTAGTGGATCAACAGTAAAACTCCAGATGTCCACACACACTCACTGGTCAGATTATGTCACATGACTCCATCAGCTCTGTCATGTGACTCACAGTTTAACTGGAGTAGATCTTGTGGCGGACGTGTTCTTCAGTCATGTGACTCAGATCATGTTTAAACGTTAAAGTAACGTGAACAGGAAGATGGCGAGCGTTTGACTCAGGTTAACTGCACTGATGTGACATCACTGAGGGACGCATCACAAACAGACGATGTGTGAGGACGTGCTGCGTTCAACACAGTGTGGATTTTAAGAAACTGATGTTACTACAGACAGTTTAATGTTTAACAAGTTTCCAGTTCTTCACTGATCAGATCATTGATCCATCGTGTGTGTGCATGTGCGTGTGTGTGCATGTGTGTGTGTGTGCGTGTGTGTGTGT